CAAACCAGGGTGTGGGATGACCAGACACTCAAATAATCTAATTGGCATTGCATTTTAAATGTATTCGGAGGTAAATTTCAGCATCTGAGAAAAATGAACACTTCTGAAATTCAGCTCCTTTAATCATCATGTGATATCATTTAAATAGAAAAACACACATTCTCTCAGTGGTCATTTGTGAAGGGGACCTGGAAAGAATTATCTTCTGATTAGGTTAATAAAGTCTGTATTGCATGATGAATGGTTAATTCTGCGAAGAAAGGATAAAGACATCACTGAATGTGGCCTGTGAGTTCAGTAGGCTCACAGACCTCGGGGACTGTGTTCTTTCTCCTCCATCATGAACTCCCCATGGAGTCTGTTTTGAAATAAGCGTTTCCGCTATAAAGTCGGATACATTGTATTCCAGCTCTAGAGAGAGAGCAAATGGAATGTCACATTTTCTGATGTAGATTTCTGAGGTACACATGGGATTAAATTCTAAATGTCTCAGCTGCCAAAGGCCCCTTCAGACTTCCCCCAAATGAGAAACAAAGAAGGAATGAACCTTCCCTGAAGCAATTCATCAGATCTACTTGGGCACAGTGGCATCCGCTTGAGCTCATGAGGATAAGTTGCCCCAAGTAATTCAAGAGTTTGCAGCTGCTTGGAATATTGGAGACAGGTTTCTCTGGTCTTATGCTTTTCACATGGCCTAATGAGTGCTCAACCACTAGCTAATTAATATCATCGAGAACGCAACAGTTAGGAGCTGGTAAGTTGGTTCTGTTGGTAAAGTGCTTGTAACAAGCATGAACATTCGAGTTCAGTCCCCAGAAGCCATGTAAAAAGCAAGGCGGCACAGAATGAACCCCTAGTACCAGCACCGAGGAGAGACCACAGAGATGGGAGAGGACTGGGGGCTCGTGGCTGGCAAGCCCAGCTGAATCACTAAACTCTGCGTTCAGTGAGAGACCTTGTCTAAAAGTGTGGGGAGTGATTAGGTAAGATGTCCTGTCTGGCTTCTACATGTGTGAGCACATACACAATCACTTTGTGTGACTTCTACACACAAACACACACAATCACACTGTGTGACCTCTGGCTTCCGAGTGCTTGCACACACGCAGTCACATATACATACGTATACACACAAAAGAATTTAACAACTGGCACTAGCAACCTAATAACGCCTTCCATTTTTAGTCTGTTGTTGCCTGGTGGTGTTCGAGTTCTCGGTTCATTGTAATCTTTGTGCGTCTTACCTGAGGAATGGTTGTTTTTATGTTTTGTTTTGTGCATCATGAAACATCTGTTGGACCAAGCCTTTCACACCGTCGACTGCCAAGTATTCACAAGTATTTGCTTTTATTTTCTCAAGTCTAATTGGTGGTGCTTTTTATCTTCACGTTGTTCTGATGTTTTCTGCTGCCCCACTGTCTGTGAAACTGAGCTGAGTGTGGCTTGACTTCACATGTTGACTAGCACATGGCAATTGCAGAACAAATTGTTTTATGATCTGTTTGACATAATCTGCCAATCATGGTGCACATAGCAGCCTTCTTATCAAATGTCCTAACAATTCTGACAAAAAGTGGCCCATGCAGTTCCTCTTACCAGTGGCTGCCATGCCCTGAGGGTTGCTTGCTCTCCCCATCCATAGGTACCCTGTTTGAGGGCCTGCACTCGCCCTCTTAATACCAGACCTTCCTTTGGGCTCCTCAGTCACCCATGCAGCCTCCCTGAACCTCATTTACACGTGATATTTCATTATCTGCTTTCCCTGCCAACTGCTGTGACTCTTTGGGGCCTGTTCTACGCCTGGCTGATTTCATTTTCTTTCTCAGAGCCTTCCCTAGTCCTCACTCGGTATGAACTCCAAGGTGTGGCTACCTTTATGTGTGTCATGTGCATTGGTGCTCAGTTCACTTCTCCATCTTCTTTGTGTCTCCTGCAGATATACATGCATTCTCTTTGCGTGTAGCCGTGTGTGTGCCAGAGTGCCCAAACCACGGTCTTCACTGTGGCTCTGTGGTGTGGCAGAAGTGACTGCTAGGGAACACGCATTTGTTGTCCCTGCTTTGCAGAGCTTCAAGTTACACCTTCTCTACGGAAGTTTCAGGGTGCTTTGTGTCAGTGCTGTGAGTTACTCCCGTGCTGAGCAAGGGTAGCATCGCATTAGACAGAGGGAGAAAGAACCTGGCCGATGTAACATAGCTGAGTGGGGCTGGAGGTCTGAGCTATGAAAAGACCCCTGGCCCCGTGAATACAGTTACAGGTACAGCGAGAGGGGCGATGCCTTCTCTCCACCCGGTAGCCCACTCACTCTTTGCTCATTTTAGCTCCTTTAGTAGCCCAGAGAGAGGCGTGAATTCCAGGGGCGCAGGCCCCTGATTGGCTTACTTTTGTCTCCTGCATGCATTCTATAGGTGTGGCTGTTGTACGTGGTGGATTGGGAGGGATCCTCTATGCCTTTGTCCCCAGAACTCCAGCTGTACAAGTTCAGCAGCTTAGAGGAGCAGAGGGCCTGCTGGGTTCAGGAGTAGAGGAGAGCACAGATCACATCTGGGGCTCCTTCGGAGCAGCTGTTGGTCTGAGTGGTGACAGAAAGAAGTGTGACTGGCCTCTTTGGTTTTATTTAGCCATCTCTTCTGGTCCATGCCCCTTTAGACTTGTTCAGATCCATCACCTCCTTTACGCTGTTACCTTGACACATTGCAGGGCTGTGGACATAATGATTCTACAGAAGAGCAAATTAAAACGTTTCTTCATGATTGGAAGGTTAAATGAGGGAAGGCTGTGGTAGTTAGTGGGGAGATAAGGGGTTCTGAGGAGGCAGAGCTCAGGGGACTCTCGGGTGATTAGAAAATTAGGCTGGCTAGACAGAGGAATGTGGGTTTTACAAATTATAGGAGCTGAGCAGGAATCGAGAAGTGATGGTCGCTCTGGATGCTGGCTCTGCTGCCTGGCTTCAGCTGTGAGCAGGAGGTAGATTTGTTCTCCCTTGAGAAGTTCTGGAGCTAATTACCCCGGGAAGTAGCAGGCTCCAAACCCATCAGTGAATGACAGAAGGCCGGCCACTCATCCTCAGCAGCTCTGCTTTTCCTTCAGCTTGAGTCCAGCTGAGAGTTGAACCCAATTAGGGGCAGGCCGCAGGGGCAGGCCGCAGGGGCAGGCCGCAGGGGCAGGCCGCAGGGGCAGGCCGCAGGGGCAGGCCGCAGCAGCTGTTCCTGCCTCTGCCCCCAGTTCTCTTCTCGCTTCCTGCTCTCACTTTGACTTTCTCTCTGACTTCATGACTACTGAGCTTCCGGTCCACCAAGAAGAACACCAAAAGAGCCAAGGGCTTTACTGCCTGGCTCCCTGGACAAACTATGGCAACCTTAGTGACTTCCGCAGGATGCCCTCTAACACTGTTGCTGTCTAGGCTCAAGGTCAGCTCTGAGTTTTGTGTCTGCTGCTAATGTCCCCTTCCATGCAAACTGAGAATCTTTCTCGAGTCTCGCTCACTGTTTGTAACCGCTGCTCAGGCTTCTGTCCTTGGTTTGCAACACCTGTATCGAAAGACCAGCTTCCTACTCATTTCTAACTAAGCCCTCCCTGGTGCAAAGTATCACGAGCCATGTGGAACTATGACATAGCTTTCATCTTTAGAAATCTCCAACAGAAAGGCCTCTTTGGCTTCCGGCCATCTCCCAGACCCAGGGCTCACATCTCAGCGCAGTCCCCCGGGTGGCCGCCATAGTCATCACTTGGTGCTGGCTGCTTTCCTTCTGCTAAGAGAGACGGATAGATTCCCACAGATAAGCCATGCTTTCTTGTTTCCTTGCCTGTTTCTTCCCTCTAGAAAGATCTGCTCACACATCCCTACCAATCAAAACATGCCTTTTATCAAGTTCCATCTCGAGCGTATATCACGGCGCTCTCTCACCCCGCCAGATGCAGTTGCTCTGGCTTTCTTCCTTTGCAGGCCTTCCGAGGAGATGCTCTTAGGCTATTTCCTGTGCCGTCTTCCCTTGTCTGGTGCTTAAGATTTCGAGTTTACATTGTGGGCACAGGTGGCATTTCTGTTGGTAGAAACCACTGAATACAGCTCCAGAAGTGTGAGGTGGGAATGAAGCTGGGTGGGTGGAGGAGCCATGCCTTTCCCACAAGCATTTGCTGCATTTCTTGTATGCTGTAAGGTGTAATACTACGCAGAGGACATGGATACAGAGAGTCCTGTGACAAGGACATCCGATGGCCTCAGGAATTGAGAAGCACGTGGTAGAAAAGGAAATGACCACAACTACACTGTGAGAAAAGTAAAGAGGCCTTTCAAGCAGGGGTTCTCAACCTGTGGTCGTGACCCTGTGAGGGTTGCTGATCAGATATTTACATTGTGATTCAGAGCAGCAACCGAATTACAGTGATGAAGCAGAGATGAAAATAACTTTACAGCTGGAGGTCACGAGAACGTGAAGAGCTGTGTTAAAAGGTTGTAGCATATGAGGAAGGCTGAGAACTATGAGTAAAGGGGCTGATGAGACTTCAGCTCTGCTGGGGCTGGCAGCCTGGTGGTGAAAGGGTGGCAGGGGAGGGAGCTGAGGAGGCAAGAAGGGTCTCCTATGGTTGGGGGTGTCTGGTTTGAGTTCTTAATATAAAAGATAGCAGGGAAGGAAGAGGGAGGGAGGCTAGGAGAGTACAAGAAAGTTTCTGCCCCTGCTCACCCAAGGGTGGCTTGTTTCTGCTCCAACTGAAATACCCTAAAAGACCAAACCCTTTGATTCTTCTAAGAGAGAAAGGGACACCCACCTCCACACGCCCCACCCCCCCATACCTCCACCTGCTCTTATCCTACCTCTATCCCACCTGTGCCCTGCCCCACCTCTATCCCACCTCCACCCTGCCCTGCCCCCACCTCTACTCTCCCCTACCCCACCTCTATCTTACCTCCACCCCTACTCCCACTCCCTCCCCTCCCTCTCGCTGTGGCTTTAGCTAGTTGAAGGTCACTCACTATTCTTTCCTTCTCCACTTTACAGAGGAAGTCTGTGGTTGTGGCGAGCTTCACAGCGCTGTGCCTCTTGCTGCTAGCCATGCGCCTCGTCAATGACATGAATTTCCCTTTGCTACTGAGCTGCTTTGGACAACCCGAGACAAAATGGATCCCACTGCCCTACACATTCAGGCAGCCTCTTCGAATTCACTATGGATACATAAATGTGAGGACCCAAGAGGTAAGACTTGAGAGGGTTACCTGGGAGAGTATCCATGGCAACTGTTTTCCAGCAGGATCAAGATGGCTTCTGAGTCATTGCCTTTACCCATTCTGTCCCACTGAGATTCTTTGGGTCCCTGACAACTTTTTTTTTCTGTTTTCTATTCTTAGATACTTCTGACACATGTCTAAAATCCTTCACCCCCTCCCACATCAAACCATCAAATCACTGGCTTCCTATGGAGTTGAGGAAGCAATTACCTGTTTTCCTGGTGGCTTGAAGCTTAAATACATATCTTTCCATTTAGATGTTCTGATCAGTGGCGACCAGCTGGAGAACCGACTGGCTTTATTTCCTGCAGGTCACTTGGTTGGGGACGACTCTTTATAGAGCTGGAGAAAAGCATCTCATCTGTCTCTTTATAACTCTGTCATCCTTGGACCTAGAGCTGAAAAAAATGGGCCAAGCTGAATTGTAACATTTGCAGTGGCTTCAGAGATAACGGGATTTAACATCTTTCCACATTTTTAAAGGGGTTAAAACCCTCTAAATTCTGAGGTTGCTGAACTTTTAAATCTTTGTAACCAATTGGTGTCCCAGGTGAAGGTGGCTGTATATTGAGAGCTAGGAAAAGTACACTACTGTGGAAGGGTGTGTGTGAGTGTGTGTGCCTGTGTGTGCGTCTGTGTGTGCGTGCATGCGCGCCCGTACGTGCACACATACAAACACACATGCACATGCCTAAAAGCCAGGGGACATGCTTGGGACAGTTTAGGATCGGATTCTCAGGCTCTGTGTGCACTTTTTGTTTTGATTGTGAGGTAAAGTCTCTCTCTGATCTAGAGCTCACCATGTAAGGTACACTGACTGACCAGGAGCCCCAGGACCCACCTGTTTCTGCCTCCTCAGGGCTGGGATCACAAACATGCCACCAAACTGACTATTTGTTTTCTGTTTGAGAATTTCACACACGCATGTGTTTTGATTGGATCCACTTCTTCCACTTCAAAGTACTCCTTTGAAACCCCACAGAGTACCACTGGCTTGATCTGTGCCTGCTGAGGCCGCTGTGAGTTCTTCTGTACAATGGCCCTATTGTGTTCACAGAACGCTTTGCACGGCAGTCCGTCTGCCCTTTTGAACGTAAATCTCAGGACCCTAACTTAGGTGCTCATGCTCAGGTGGAAAAGACTTTCTGGTGGAGCCCTTCATAGTCTTGTCTCATAAAGTCCAGCAGGGGGAAACACTAAGAACTAATGAGCAAGCAGAGCGATTGAAACTGTTCTCACAGTCATTTCTGTGGGGATGGGGTAAGTGGGAGGCATGTCTAGTGTTGATTCAGAGTCAAGCCTGTTGGAAGTTGTTGGTGACAGCTTCGGTCACCAGTGCGTCCCAGCACTGAGGAGAATCCGGGGGTCAGAACCTGTTGGAGAACGGCTCCTCTGTGGCTGGTGGCGCGCCCGAGTTATCGCTTTCTGTTCATTTCACTCTTGGAACATTGTTTTCGTATCTCCTGGATTTATAGACTGTTTATTAGACCTTTATAGTTGAGGGGAGGCACCGTTAATAATATACGAATTCCTCGGAGTCTTGCTGGATGTGCACCCTCTAATTGGTTTTAAATTAACTTTGGGAAGTCTCTTGCTTGAATGTGTCACGTGTCCTGATAAATTGATTACCTGTATAAAAATGTGTCTTTTACGGAAGAGCTCGCCTCGCTCTTGTCTCTCGTTACTTTTATGTCTGGCTGTCACTTAATATTCTGTAACTCTGCAGTATGGGTTAATCATTTCACAAGTGCCTGTCACAGGCTGAAAACGGAGCATATGGATAAAGTACCTCATGAATTATGCTCACGAGAAATGTACCACTGGATGGTAAAGCCCTGTGATGTGTCTCAGTATTTGTGAATCAGGTTTTGGAGTAGCCTCTCCTTCCTATTGCCACAGACTCTGCCCTGCTTCCACTCCCGTGGTGGACTGTACCCTCTCAAACCATGAGCCCAAATAAACATGTCCTCCCTTAAGTTTCCTATTTTCAGGTATTCAGTCTCAGCTATGAGAATAGTAACTAAGGCAGCTCTCCATGTAAAATTACAATTAAATACATTTCTTATGCTTTCCTTAGGGTAGCCTGTGCATCGACACGAGTATTGGTCATGTCCCTGAATGAGGGGACAACAAAGGGAATTGCTTCCCTCTCTGTGCTCTCAGGGGTCATGATTTGAGAATCTCAGAACATTGATTCCTTTACCTATCACTTAGGTCTGTGACTGGTTCTTGAAGGCCTTCTCATCATCCTTCGTACTTAATGTACTCATCCCAGGGAAAGACTGTCCAGAGGATATTATTTAGAAAGACCCAGTGCACAGCCTTCTGGAGGTGACAGGGTCGCAGAAGGGGAGGTAATGACTTGGAATCAGATAAGTGTGAGGCAGATGGAAAGCCACCACATTTCCATGTCTTCCTATTTAGCCTAGAGCTTTGTTTCTTGCTCTCTGAAGAATCTATTGAAGGAGGTAGCAAATCCCTTCCAGCGCGGCCGTTGAGAGTGGAATGGAACACAGTAGGTTCCTCCCACCTCTCTTTCCTCTCTAAACCTGTGCAACTTGATTGTTGAGAGAGAGCCTTGAAATGAATGCCACTCACTGAGTGAGGACTGAATTCTGGATGTCTTTGCTGGCCACTGAACCTGGAGTCCTGACTGATACTGGGATTGAGTTGGCTGCTACCGCTCTGAGGTGGCATTAAGCTGCAACAGGAACTTGAATGACGTGGACTTTGCAGCCCCTGCTGTATCCCCTGTACCTTATGGCTGACCCATAACTTCTCTGGCTTCCCTGACTATCTCAGTGTTATTCACAATGTAATCTCACTAAAACTACTTTCATTTTTAGTAATGGGGAGGGGGTTTATCTCAGCTTAAACTTCAAGATTATAGTCCATTATTGAGACAGGACAGGAACTTGAGCAAAACTGGATCAGAAACCACCAAGAACACAGCTTACTGGCTAGTTTTCCAGCTTGCTTAACCAAGCTCTGCCCTGCCTAAGACGAGAGCTGCCCACACTCCTCATTAGTCCATAGATCAGGAATCTTCTCCAGACGTTATAGGCTAGTCTGATCTGGGCCATTCTTGAATTCAGTTCCCTCTTCTCAGGTCGTTGTGACAAATTGACTATGAAAACCAACCAGCACAATCCACTTCTTGTCAACTTCACACACACACACACACACACACACACACACACACACACACACCACTGTTAAGTAATAACCTTTCCTTCCTTGTTTGTCCCCAAGATCTCATGGTAATATCATATTATAAAATACAACAGAACTTTAAAAGCCCCAGAGTATTTTAAAAATTATAAATATTTTTATCAAGAGAAAATATGATGAACCATTCTGTGGTATTAAGGCAGAGTAATTATCAACACACATTGAACATGACTTTAGAAAAATTTGTCATCCATGGGTGTTTAAAAAAAGATACATACTTACACTTGGCATTATTCTGTAAACGCTGTTGTTTTCTAAGCATTCATCTTAAATTATTAATTGTACTAGATAGGGCAGGATAAAGGATCTAGACACTTGCCCCATTTGGTTCGAGGCATCATTGTTCCTCTTGATGAGGTCATGGCAAATGAAGGGAAAAGAGAGATTCACCTTGGGGCTGGGGTCCAATCTTAGTTTTCTACCATGGACTCAGCCACTGTGGTGGGTGTTCTGTGATGTGACGTGATGTGAAGGCCGACATTGCCTAGAGCAAGCCACCCATAGGGCATTGGCATTGGCTTTGGCTTCTGGAGAATCCGTCACTGCTCTGACCACAGGAGGCTGCACATGGCAGCCATCCTCCTCAGATCTGATCAGAGAACCAGAATGTGCTAGAACTGGGAGGAGGCTGGTGTTTGGTAAAGAGTGTCCCTTTCCATGATGTTCAGGAGCCCAGAACAGAGCAGGCAAGGCTAGGACTATGTTTTCAGTCTCTTTAACAATTTAACTAGGCAGAATTGCATCTCTTTAAAACCAGAGAATCTTGGAAAGCCTCAAGCAGACAAACTACGAAGGCTTTGCAGCAGTTCCTATGATAGGCAGGCCATGCTAGTCTAATTATAGATGTACATAACAGATTGGTGTTGCAATAGAATTTCCTAAATTGTGGTTATTGTAACAATTAAGGAACAAAGCTTACTTTCTTGGCAATAAAAGAACATGCTCACCACATTCAAATAAATGTGCACTTGTAACTAATGCTGGCATGAATGGATTTTTTATGTTTGGATATATAGGCTTTAGCTCTTAGAGAAGTGTGTGGAGAGCAATTATATGCAGATGTATGCTCCCAAAATTTTAAACTGATCAACTTAATTATTAATTAAGTTGGATATTCCCATTTCTGTAATTATAAAGAAAAAATTTCAACTCTTCAGTTGCTTTACAGAAAGAAACAAATTAATGTCTAATAAAGGTTGCTTATTTGACACATACACGTTGGGTTTTTCATTTTAAACCTGACTTATCATTTTTCTAAGGGCTTGAGTGGTGGGGGAACAATTTTCTCAGGCAGGCTGTGAGATAGCAACCCTCAATCAGAAAACACATCTCGGGACAATGGAAGACAAAACACAAAGGTGGAGAGGATTGACATCACCAAGGGGTGAGACAGTTCCAGGGTGATCTTTGTGGCTCATGAGACAGGAACATGACACTTAGCTTTGACTGTCAACCTGACAAGTCTTTTCTCCCCATGAAGAAAGCCTCAGTGAGGAACTGTCCAGACTGTGTTGGTGGGCGGGCATGCCTGTTTTCCTGTTGGAGTTAATTCAGATGGGAACTCCCACCCTGCATGTGGACAGCACCGTTCCATTGGCTGAGTCATGAGCTGATAAAGAAGGGGCCCCTGAACAGTGATGAGGATGCACTCCCCCGCAACCACTCTTGACCGGGGTGCAGTGTGGAAGCCCTCCTCCTCCTCTTGACTGGAGTGCAGTGTGACCAGCTGTTTTAAGC